GAATTCTATTTAACATATGTGTACCAAGTTTCAGAGTGATCCGTTTGTAAATAGCCGAGATAAATTTTGCCCTAGACGCTCCCCTTAAACATATGAAATGTAAAAATACGGTGTTCAGTGTTGCCATATGACCACTGTGCAGAGAGTGGATGAATATTGCAAGATCTTTGGCGATGCTTCATAAGCAAAATTTATACCATCAGACGATCTTGCCAACACATTTAGATTGAAATTATTTCATTTAATATATTTGTCAGTTTTCGGCCAGCTATTTAAAAAAGTAAGGTTTCCGGTATGTTGGATTGATCAGTATGCAGTGAAGCTTGTCCGGAAATCAGTTGCGATGAGTTCCCACTGAAAAAATGTAAACATCAAGTTTACGATTACGTAGTTGCGGTCACATTAGTGGTCAGACTGCATTATCACATGTTCAGTTGACACTTGCTGTACAATCGGACTGTTTTTAGGGTAAAATAAGTTATTTGGAGTAACACGTGCATGCAACCTTATAAATAAGTTCGTGGCTTGTAAATAGTTTTTCATTACTCAGCGTAAATGGCTTTTCATTAAAAATTACCCGGCGACGCATCTTAAAATTACCCGGCGACGCTTAGGGCTTAAAAACCCATATATTGGCGACGCTGCATCCACCCTCTGCACCATGGCCATATGACTTTGGAGATAATTTCTTCCAAAATGAAGTTCTAGATATCTCATTCACTAAATTTCCGGATCAAGAAAAATCATATATTATTGAAGGATAATTAAAGGCATACTGTAGTAACTGTACTGAGTATTGCGTCTGTTCCTCCACAAACTGCTCTTATGCGGCGTAGAATTGATGGCCGGGATTGCGCGAACTGCAGAAGTCAAGAAGAACCACACCGCAAATCATTCATTCACTAATAAGTGCTAATTGCATAAAAAAACACAGGCACCGGAAGAAATCTATCTTAATTATAAATTTTCATTTTTATTGCAACGATGAAGTTTAATTATAGAGGCGAACAACAAACATTAATAAAAATGAGAATAGCTTCAGAGGGACACATCACACTCGAAGTCGAAGATCGTTCAGCGTTACTTGAAATCTACAGACGATGTTGCCATTCCATTCAGATGAAAACTGTGTCTAAATCAGAACTGTGTCAGACGGCTCCGTGGCCCGCACCGAGTGCTGCGCGACGTGGAATCGATGACCGTGATTTGCGCGAACGCATGTGCGAAGAAAATATAAGAAACTATTTATGCGCAGGAAATTTCCCTGTTTAAATGCATCTTCCTGAGTGTGGATGACCTGCAGGCTGCAAACTTGTTATTTATATTTACAAAGTCCCATGCATATAAAGTCCCATGTTATTTAGTATTTACAAAATCCCAAACAAAAAACAGTCACTAGCATTTGTCTTCACTTAAATGGCAACTGAACAAGTGATAATGCAGTATGAGCACTATAACTTGACTGCAACTACGGGATCTTCATGGAGGAAATATTTTTAGTTGACTTGTTATTACGTTCTGCATGTTATTTTGGCGGGAGGTGGGAGCATTGAAGTATATATACTACAGATTGCAGAAGTTTACAATTTAATGAAACGACATGTTTGTGAAGTGCAAACTATGATTTTTTTGATCAAACATAAATTTATGACATTAGAGCTGCAAGATTTCATACCTACTGAAATTATATGATATTAGAGCCATGATATTTCAGAAAAAATAGGACTTTTCCAGCCCTGTTGGAAAGCATGACTTGAAAGCTTGGAAAGGCCAGGAACATTCCACTTTCACTCCATTATTTACATATCCTATCCCTCTCCAGTTTCCAGCTGTGTTTGGTTGATAAAATTGTAATGTTATCCCCTTTCCAGCTGTGGTTTGACAGCTGTGATTGGTTGTGCCCAAAAGCCCCACCCCCAAATATGGTATATGTACTACACTTTAGTACTACATGTACCAGTAGTCCAGTACTGTAGTAACTATAGTACTGGACTACTGGTTAACTTGATACCTGAACTAACTTGACTTAATACTTAAATTTAATCATTATTCATTACAAACTAAGGGCCTGGAAAATTGCAAAAAAAACATTAAATAAAAGAGAAGTGAAAAATATCAATCAAATAAGATACATTCAAAGGTGATAATAAGGGATGGGTAGGGTAAATTGGGACAGTCCTCCAACATTTTGTAGAACTGTTGTAGCAGCTAAACTAATTAAAATATTGCAAATCTAAAAATAATGGCCTAAAGTTTAACATTTTTACTACCAATGAAGCATAATGCAAGTTAAGAAATCATACATCTACTACCTCTAAAAAATCCCTGAAATAGTGTGAAAAGTGAGATTTTGGAAGACTACCGTCAACCGGGGGCTACTCGGGACTGGCGGGGCTACTCGGGACAGTCCTCCGACACGGCGTAAAACTGTTATGGTAGCAAAACTAATTGGAAAACTGCAAAACTAAATAGAGTGGGGTAAACGTCAACATTTTTCCTATCTATGTGGTAGGTAGGTATAAAGGAAGTCAAAAAATACTACATTTACTAGTTATGAAAAATTCCTGAAAAAAATGGTGAAAAATGCTATTTTGAAAAATTACTTCTGCTAAGGTCTGTAGCCAAAAAAATATTTGCCATATTAAAAAATTTTACTTACATAAAAGATGCACCCAGGTGTCAGCTTGAAAACGTAATTGATGGAATTGTCCTAACTTCATTCAAAAAAAAAATGGCGGCCATTTCCGCACAGCGGGGCTACTCGGGACACCCTCCCGGGGCTATTCGGGACACCCTCAAAAACGCATTTACAGTAGAACCTCAGTAAGCAAAGGGTCCAGTTAAGAAAAAAATGGATTAAAAACAAAGAATATTGATTACATTTACCTTGCTCGGTGAAAAAAATTTCACTTATCGAAAAATTAGTGCATCATCCGTTGTCACAAAATTGTACATAGAATGCTATATATATAATTGTGCACCGGGAATCATAGAATGAAAAGTAATATACCTAAACTATGATTTATTTCTCCAAAATATATAATGGTTGTCACTGAAACATTCCTTTCTGTTTCAGGTATGTTTTTCGTGATCTTTTTTTTATAGTAAATTCACATGACCCAATTAAAATGGCGCATAAACAAGCGCATGGCGCATAAACGAGCACTATTGTGCTTGCCATGTCCATCTGTCTGTCTGTCCGTCCGTCTGTCTGTTTGTCTGTGACCTCAAGGTTTCGTCGACGAGAAAATGCGCTCTCTGTCACTCACTGCAGTGAGTACTGAGTTATATTTTTTTATAGTAAATTCACTCAACCCAATTAAAACGGTGTAAAATTACAAGCTGTCCTGTGAGCTTACAGATACAGAAAAAATGCTATAAGGCTGCTGATATGAAGCTTGCAGTGGACAAGGTTGTTGTAAATGCTCAATGGCATGTTCATGGATATGGTAATATCACATCAATAATACAGTAATATCCCATCAATAATATGGTACCATCAACTGGGGTGACTTCCACATGTTTTTGATTTTGTTTTGCAAACAAAAGCAGGGTCATAAATGATGGCCAAATTCACTCTGGCGTTTATGACCTTGTTTACGACCCCGGCGTTTACGACCCCGTTTTTGTTTGCAAAACAAAATCAAAAACGTGGTGGCCCAAGAAAACCCAGTTGATGGTAATTAATGTTTATGGTAATATCATCAATAAAGGAAAAACAAGTAAAAATCACTGAAAATGTCATTTATTCTACCTCTACATCACCTCCAATGAAAGAGGAGGACTTCAGAGTACTGTTAGTAATTGATGAGTACGCTCTGCATGCTTCAAATATTTTAAAATGAAGTGTTATTCCCAGTGTCCCAAGTAGCCCCATTCGACGGGGCTACTCAGGACACTCTTTTTTTGCTTGTGGCACCTTACGAATAGCATATGGAATTTTTTTAAGATGCCATTCGATAGCCCTCGCAAAGAGCTATAAAATGAGCCTAAATTTGTTTATGAAATGTTTCATGGTAAGAAGTTATGAATGAAAAACTTCCAAAAGTGTCCCGAGTAGCCCTGGTTGACGGTACCTCTGCTAAGGTCTGTAGCAAAAAAAATAGTAGCTATATTAAAAAATTTTACTTACATAAAAGTTGCATACAGTGCTGGCTTAAAGACGTGACTGATGCCTGACGAAATTTGCGTGGCTCATATCCTCGAAAAATGGTGCCATTTCCTCAAGATGGGGTAATAAGGGACACCCCCTAGCCCTGGGGTAATAAAGGACACCTCTAAAAACGCAGTTACAGTAGAACCTTGGTTAGTAAAGGCTCCAGTTAAGAAAAAAAAATCAATTAACAACAAAGAATTTTTATTACATTCATCTAGCTCAGCATAAAAAATTTCCCTTGAGAAAAAATTAATGTATCATTGTTCTTCACAAAATTTGCATAGAATGTCATAGGTAGATAGATTGTGCACTGGGCAATATAGAATAAAAAGTAATTAACCTAAACTATGATTTATTTCCCCCAAAAAAAATATAGTTGTCACTAAAATATTCTTTTTCGTTTCAGGTATGTTTTTACTCTTTTATTGTTATACTTAGTGAATTCACTTGACCCAATTAAAATGGCATAAAATTACAAGCCATCCTGTAAGCTTACAGATACAGAAGAAATGCTATATGGCTGCTGATATGAAGCTTGCAGTGGACGAGGTCACTGTCAATGCTCAATGGCATGTCAATGGATACGTAATATATCAATAATACAGTAATGTATGGATATGGTAATATCATATCAATAAAGGATACCCCGTTTCCAGGGGTAATTAGGGATGCTTCTATTTTGCACCTGGCACCTTAAGAATAGCATTTGGTATTTTTTGGAGATGCCAATCGATAGCCCTTGCAAAGTCCTTTGAAATGAGCACAAACTCGTTGATGAAATGTTTAATGGTAAGAAGTTATTAATAAGAAGCACTCAAAACATCCCTTATTATCCCATTTGATGGTATACCTATAGGTACATATTTAAATAGCATTTTATTTTGCAGAGGTAGATAAGAAGCTAGTCATAATGCTGGGTAAGGTGCTATCACTCCTGGGCTTCCCTGATGACATTCGGCGGATGAACTTCAGACAGGTGAGTCTTTATTCTTAATTAATTTAATTAATTCATTTCTCTTCCTGGGTCCATACTTTCAATATTCGCTAAGTGAACATATATAAGTACCATACCTACGCTCTATTTTCTTGTCTGTGATTGGATGATTCCGCTTGAAAGGCCGTCAATGATTGGCCGATGAACTTGCAATCTCTTAACTTTTTTTAAAAGTATAGGCCCTGATTTTAAAAGTAAAATATTTTCTTGTTTGTATACTTCTATGTTCTGAAATCGTTATCTTTTGAATTTATTGTTATCATAAGTATCTGCCAATATTATACTGGAAGTTTATTCTATTTCGGCTTGTGAGCCAGAATTACTTGTAAGTATAGTTTAATTGAATTTTCTTTTAGCTATGTTTAAATATATATTCCATCTGTTTCTTGAACATAAATTCCCATTGAGGCTTATAATCATCACGCTAAATCAATTTATCATCTAGGTCATTGAGCATGAATTGTTTATCAAGCTCTTAGTAACAAACAAAATAGTGTCATGTGCATTATCATCACATGAATATAATTTGCAATTTAAACATCTGCTTGGTTTTCAGATGATGTATCAAGGTTTGAACTTCGCCATGATAGTCTCCTCTGCTCTGATGATCTGGAAAGGACTCATGGTTGTGACTGCCAGTGAGAGCCCCATAGTTGTGGTGCTTAGGTCAGTATTATGTCCTTAGATCATGAATAAATTTTTGATGTTGGTGCCACTTAACTTGCCAGTGCACTCATGTTGCTGCCATTTAAAATCTATTAAATAAACAAAATGAAACCACAGCTTTCTTGCTGAATTGAAACACCACTGTAGGTATTGAGTGGTGATCAAAATTATGCAAATTGTAGTTCTAATCAGAATTAAAAGGTTTTTATTGATGTATGGTGAGTCAAGTGCTTTGCTTTGTGTCATTGATGGGAATACAGGAGTCTTATCATTCATTGCCTGGTATGTTTATTCTAGTATTCTTCCATTTGTTGAAATACGTCTACAATATTTCTTTTAAATTGACATCACTTCTCAGGACATTTGCTCACCAGAAACATTGTATTTCTTAAAAATTTAGAATGATCTAATCTAGAAGAATTATGAAGTAGTATTATTTAGTAAGAAGCATATAAGTAATTCTTGTTTAAATTTGATGTGTAGTGGGAGCATGGAGCCTGCATTCCACCGTGGAGACCTGCTGTTCCTCACCAACTACGAGAAAGATCCCATCACGGCCGGGGAGATTGTGGTGTTCAAGGTGGAGGGCAGAGACATACCCATTGTTCACAGAGTCATCAAAGTTCATCAAGGGTCAGTTCAAGAGAGGATACTAATTTTGGGGCATTTATTGACCTCTGAAAGTAAATTTGACAAACTTTTTAAACTCTCCCGTCCAAGTGAGTAATCTCTTCTGCTTTTCTTTAATAGCAATAGTTGAAGTTGTACAGGATAGTATATTGTATGAAATCTTTGTAATATCCAGAATCCAAAAATTCAATTGTATTCCTAATTTTTCAGTTCTTCTTCATTGATTTTAGCAACTTTTGAAACCACAAATGCAATCAGTGAGTTAAAATCTGATGAATAGCATGCTTCAGATTTTCCAAGTTAGCTTGAATTTTCTTTTATAAGCACCAATTTCTTTTGAGCTTATTGAATCTTTGCCCTGAGCTTGATTATCAATGCTCCATAATTGAAAAAATATAACTCAGTACTCACTACAGTGAGTGACAGAGAGCGCATTTTCTCGTCAAAGGAAACTTGAGGTCACGGACAGACAGACAGGCAGGCAGACGGACAGATGGACATGGCGAGCACAATAGTGCATTTTTTCCATAAATGATAAAATGCGCTAAAAACTGTCTTGGTACCAGTTCAAATAATATTTTTATGCATGGGCTTCATGTCTATCACTTGATTATTCATAAGTAAAGAGCTACCAGTACCTTCTTTTAGTGCTGATATTCCATATTTATAATAGAATACAACTCAGTATAGTTCTGCATCTAATATTTCTGCGCTATGTCCATCAATGACCTCCTCAAACATCTGAAAGTTAGCAATATATAACGGAAGACTTCAGTGAGCCTTGTCCAAAAAGTACCTACCTACTACACTGGTTCAATTTGTGCTGGTTATCTTGACCTAGTTTGGCCTTGCAATAGGAAGTGCTGCGTCCGCTTCCCGCTCACACTGTCGGTAAGAAACGGCGTCACTCTTTGAACAATGTGACCCATTCACTTTTCTTGCTGTACACTGTATTAGTGTACAAAAATGAATGGGTCATGTTGTCCATATAGTGACACTATCTTCATTTAGCAACAATCCGCCCTTTTGCCAGGAGCGAACTGGATCAGAGAGACCCACCCACACAATGCCAAAAAATATAACTCAGTACTCACTGCAGTGAGTGACAGAGAGCGCATTTTATCCTCGTCGACGAAAACGTGAAGTCATGGACAGACAGATGACACAATAGGGCATTTTTTCCATAAATGAGAAAATGCATTGATATTTGGACAAAGACTCACCTATTTTACTGAGAGTAGACACAAGACTGATGTCCCTCGCCTGTTGCAGGGACGCAGACGACAACACCTCCGTGAAGTTCCTGACGAAGGGCGACAACAACAACGTGGATGACCGCGGACTGTACGCGCACGGTCAGGTCTGGCTCACGAGGAAGGATGTGGTGGGGCGCGCCCGGGGCTACGTTCCCTACATCGGCATCGTCACCATCATCATGAACGAGTACCCACAGCTCAAGGTGCGCTCATTCAAGTCTATAATATTACGTTTTGCTCATTTACTATTTACTATTTATATGCTATTTCTATGAGCTACTATTTACTATTTCTATGTTATTATATGAGCTATATTTCTATGCTATTTACTATTTCTATGAGCATTACTATTTCAATGCTCATTTAATTAGAATATCTTGAGCAAGCCAAATGTGAGACACTTTGGTGGTGGTCTCTTGTTGAGATGCTAATGTATTCTTCCTGTGATGGCAGTAAATGCGTTTCTTTATTTATCAATGAATGTAGGTTTAATGTCAAGATATGATCTCTATTATTTGTATATTATTTTTTATGCTAGTAAATGAGTTGTGCATAAATTTAGCATCCGTTTTTCGTGGGTCAATGACAGCCTTAAAATTTTCCAAGTTCTGTGGCTCGCACGACATAAAAGCTGTTGTTTGTGCTGTGCAGTTCACGGTGCTGGCGTTGCTGGCGCTCTTTGTGCTCTTCAACAGAGAATGATAGACTGGTAACACATGATGGTGGACTGGCTAGAGAAAATTATGGACAGGCACCAGAGAATGATAGACTGGTGACATGATATGGACTGGTAAAGAGAATGAAAGACTGGTAACACTTGATTGACAGGCAAGAAAATTATGGGCTGGCAACAGAAATGGACTGGCAACAGAAATGGACTGGCAACAGAAATGGACTGGCAACAGAAATGGACTGGCAACAGAAATGGACTGGCAACAAAGAATGATGGACCGGCGCACAAGATGGCGCCTGTGATGGTCCCTCATACACAAACGTTCTCTTGCACAAGCGCGGACTAGGTTTGTTCCGTATCAGATTCCCCGTCCTCGTTTTTCCACCTCCAGTATTTTTACCCTGCAAATTATGCACATGTAATATCTGTCTTGTAATTTTTATTTCATGCATAACTTTATTTCCTATTTTTTTCTCGCTGAGGTGTTTCTAAATCTAGGCAAGTGAGAGATTTGTTTAAGTACTTCAATATTGTACAGAACAAACGTATTAGACTTTGAACTGCAAATGCTATTATAAACTTATTGATTCATTTTTTCCTTTTCTCAAACAATATCTATCATCACGTTTGCGATTTAAGAGTGTGTACATTTTACATTTTTTGCGCGTGTATGTGTGTTTGTATGAGCGTTTTTAGGTTTGAGTTCGGGGCACAAACTCGCATTTAAAAAAACGTAAATTTCCGATTGCCATTTGGCGATGTGAGCGTGAGACTTAGAAAAATGAATGCGTCAAATTGCCTAAAGAGCGACTCACTTTCTCACCCACAGTACGAACAGAGACCGGGCGTAGCACTGATATGCCCTTATGTTGTTCCAAACAGGGTCGGGGTTGCCTGTAACACGCAAGTCTCTTGTCACCGTAGAGCCGCTGTACGTTTGTGAACGCTTCATCTCTCATAATTGTTCTGATCAAAGCTAAATTCAATCTAATTCATGCGCATCCGCACCTTAAAATACAATTAATTCAATTTCTTATTTTCAATTTGAACTCTGTTTTGATGTAATAAAGAAAACTCAAGGTACACTTATATCAATTAAAACGAGTTCTATCTACAATACACAATGGCTTTGGCATGTCTAAAAAACAAGAAAGATACATGTATAAAACTAGTGATTAGTTTTCGACTTGCAAGTTGCAACGGCTCTTACGTTTTATACATACTGAATATCAGTTCATTTAGGATATCCCGCCATTTTATTTATCCCGCCAGTTCATTTAGGATTTCTGGGATTGTAACATGTGTGTTGACTGAATTGAAGTGTACTCCATTTCTTACGGGAGAAACTCTTCACAATTTTGTGAAAAGTTCCTTGAACTTGTCATCCTTTCAGTAAAGTCTCCGAAGCGAGGCGCTAATTGTTCTTGCTAGTATGTTTTTCAATTGTTTTTTATTATCCAATATACCTATGTCCCTCACAAGCCACCTCAACAAATCCCATATCATTTAATACGAGTTGTCAATCTTGTGGTTCAGTGCTGTCTCTAAAGCGTTAGTATTCCTAATTAAATCTAATCTATTACAAGATTAATAGATTAAATTAATTACAATTGAAGTTGTACTTACTGAGTAAGTTGTACTTACTCAACTCTTGCTTTGCAAAGATTCATCTCTTTTTGTGTGTGGATGAATGTATTCATTGTTAGCACAATTATTGAGGTCCTGTTGTAAAGTATTCTCTAGTGTTTCAGAATTGATGTGTTCGCCCTGCGAATTCACGGTTTGCGTCAAGTTTTAGTTTTCTTATTATTGGTTATTGCTTATGACTTTTATTTATAGTTGCTAGTGATTACGTAAATGTTCAACTGTCGACGCTGACCTCGTCATGCCAGGCCGTATGAGTTTTGATCAAAGGTGTATCATTTGGTTGAAGGTGTATCATTTGGTTGAAGGTGTATCATTTGGTCGAAGGTGTATCATTACTTGGGGTGTGTTGCTACTGGTGCTCTGCACGTTATATGAACCATTCATCATTTATGGTAGGTATAAACTATAAATGTTCCTAAGTTGTATTTCCCCTTGTGCGCCAGGTCTTGTATTTAGAGCTCCATTTTTACCTTTAAATTGTTCATGTTATCCTGAACATTGACGTTCTTGAACCAGATTTAGAAGGATGGCCATTTTACCTCATTCTCATACTAATATTTATATTGTTAGGCTTGTTCTCGAAGGTTGTTGATGAAGTAAGCAAGTTCATTGTGCTTGAAAGATATACTTCCTCTTGGCTATAACGAACGTCTCCATAACAATGTTATACGCACTGCAGTTTGTGTGTTAGCTAGCGCAGCAAATAACATCTTTCATAGGACATTCGGTATTGGTTTGGTCATGTCGGCGAGCGCGTCTTCTTTTCTCTTGGTTCATTCCACGTCAGAAGAAGTATTTTCTCTAAATGTTTTTTATTTCCCTTAGTTTTGATGTCTTGGCCAAAACGCGAGTGCAGGCTCTGAAAGACAAATCAGCGAACGTTTGTATGTTGTGTAATTTTACATCACTTACTCAGCTATTACGAAATCTGGTTTAGCTGCTATGTCAGATAATTATAAATGTACTGAGGTAGGATTTCCTCATAAATTTTTTCAGCATTTTCAGTGCGGAAAAATATGCTTCGTGGTTGCCGCAGAAATACAGCAACGTTCGCATGAGGCCTCTACCAGTTCATTTCCCATGTCTTAACATAATTTTTATGTTTAGTATTCCAGCTATTGATGAACTCGAGTCGCAAACGTCCGAGTATGCGGAACGTTTTCAATTCAAGCAATTTGTGTTTTAAGTATAGGTAAATGTACCTTTATATAATCGATTGAAAATTTAAATGTAATTTTTCCAATGTATTTCTGTCCATTATTTCGGTCTCTCATGCGACGTGCGCTGCTTTGGGGTCATGGACACTCCCCCGGCATTTCCAGTCCACTCAATATGACGCTTCATCCTGGTATTGGATTGCATCATCCAATAGTTGGGTTTATCCCTTTGGTAAAGTCACAAGTTACCTTCAGTAGTAAAGTCACAAGTTACCTTCAGTAGATACGAGTTTAATCGTTTGACAAAGGTTGCATCACCTTGCTATTCGTCTAAGCCTTCATTACCAGTCGTCACAGATATTCGTAACTAAAGGAATGCTAAGCAGTTACAATCAGTAGACACGAGTTAACTCATTCGTCTATTGTTACATTACCTGTTGTCAGTGCTGCATATTTCTCAACATAAGATTACGAGAGTTAGTACACCAATTGTTCAGAATTGAGGACAGAAACGAAGACATATTAATTCTTATAAAAGTAGAAATGGTAGCAAGCATTTATGCTGTTACTGACAAAAGTGGGGCTAAGAAATCCAGATACAGACAAAGAAACAAGATTTGTAAGAAAATGACCGATTAAATGGCTGTGTTTAAATACTACATGTTGTTTAGGTCTGCGAGAACTTGATACTTAGATCAGATAATGCGGATATATGAAATCGATGGCGTAGAGATAAAAGAAGGAATGTAGTTCTTTACTTCCGTCTGCTCAGAACTGCCGTCGTCATGCGCAATTTTTTTTTTCATTTTAGTACGTCGTAAAAGATCTCGAGTTTAGAAGTTTCTTCAATACAATTCTTCCTGTCCTTGCCAGAGAAGCCAAGCGAAAACGTCGCATAAGTTAATAGATTAAATATTCACACCAAAAGATTTGTGTGACGTTTACTCAGAAGTTCAGGGACTGTGCACGTATGTGTCCATGGAGGATTGTGGGAACAGCTTCCCGATGTTGAAAAAATTTAAATGAAATGTTCAATTTTTCATACACTGACCCTCCATTAACATTTTTATTTCCAGATCGTTTTAGCGGCGCATGATTGTCTCATTTTACTCTGTTATATACATCGGACTATAGAGAAATGCTTACTAAAATGTAGCTTAACACACACTTTTTATTACGAACTGCTGTAGGTTCGGGGTGCAATTATTCTATTTTATATTATGACGATTTTCTTCAGTAAAGCTTGACTTGAGACTGCATGCTTTCAAATTAATACAAGAGAGTTCAAAATGCTATAGCGAGAGCGTGTCTTAGATGACAAGGTTGTGATAAGATATGATACCAAAGGAACCATGTACATAAGTGACGGGGACTCTGACGAGGTGAATAACTTGGTGAGGCAGCGTTGAAGAGGGCCGCAGAACATAAGGGAGGCGGGTATGTCTCTGGAGGCCCCGCGTCTGCCTCTCCATCTCGCCGCCAAACGCGACAGCTCCAGGCTCCTGCAACAGCTCCTCCAGAAAGGTGATGAAATAGAAGTGTCGGCACTGAAGAAATAGGCCCATGGTCTGTTGCCGATTCTTGTACTTTTCGTGACTTGATTCACAAGGTATCCGGCCTTGGGAACCCGATCTTTCCATAGCTGACGATTGATTGATGATTGTTAAAACTATGTGTAATCTGGAGCAGGGTAATTTTAACCTAGTGTTGATTAAAAAATTATTAGTAAAGTCTAAAAATATTGTTTGAAGTGGGAGTTTCGTTCAAAAATTGCACTTTATTTTATGCTTCATAAGGTACTTTGGAAACAGAGCTATTGTTGGTTGTGATGACTGTATTGGGTGACAGGTCACGACATCAACGCTCGTGACAGCGACGGTAACACGGCACTACACGTCGCTGCGGCGTTCGGGGCCACGGCCGCCGTGCGCGTGTTGCTGCAGCACTTCGCTGACCCCGCGCCCGACACACGCAGTCGCCAGTACGCCAATGGAATATCTAACCATGTAATTAATAATATAGATGATGTAATTGATAATACTGGTGATTTAAATTGATAGCAATTGATGATAATCCAGATACATAGACGGCCAGGTAATTATCCGAGTTGAGTGTGGTGTATAAAGCCGAATGTTTCAATAAATTAAATCTGATTCTGTAGAGGACTGAACCGTTTCCGTCTGTCCTATAGTACATTCCAATGTTATTTGATTAAATAGGGGTTTTTAAGTTAAGTAGATTTGAGATTTTTACTATTATTATACCTTTATTTTACCGGCAATCGCTTTAATATCGGTCAGATTGGGTCCGCAGTGGTCATTACCGGCACGGTGTAAGTCCTCGAATGAAGAGGTTTACGGCAAAAATAGTACAGAGAGAGGGTTGTAATGAAACACTGGTACATTTCATATTAAATTGGGAAATTCAAGTTCATATCTTACTTTGACACAAATCTCTAGTACATGAAATAGGTAATCTGAACACAATCAAAATTATCAGTTAACATCACTAAAGTTTCTCTTTATTTACCAGAAAACGTTGAACCGTAGAACGCTCCCGTAGAATGGTACGACTCCCGCAACGACCGTAGGTACCTCACGTACAGGGTATTTCCGCGTACACACAGGGTATTTCCTACACGTACAGGGTATTTCCGCGTTTGCAACCGTATTTCCAGTGGCCGTACCGCAGCTGTAGCCGCACGTCCCGCGATCGCTGTTCTTCATAACCGTCGTGCCTCGCCGATATAGATGTATCACGGTCAGTCTGGCCGTAGGTTGTTTTACAATGACCGTACTTCTGAATACTGGCGTAGTCTTCATCGTCGATGATGTTACTTCGGGCTCAATGCGGCGCTTCTGCGGTTGGTGATCGTGACCATACGATACTGATGACCGTACCGATGATATGATTCTTGCGCAGTGCTCGAAACTTGAATCTTCTGATTGCCGGCATCACAATCGTTGAACTTCTCATGGCCTCTCGTGTTGTCACAGGGCTGAGTCGCAACCGTAGTGTTGAGGTTGACTGTACATAAATATGCCAATGTCACGGCCGTTCCTTGTAGATTTTTTGGACGTGCTTGCAGGAGTCGTAGCTGCCTCGATGAGTTTAGGTATTTCAGGGCCGTTGATGTTCGAAATCGACGAACCCAACGGCCTCACGGCCGCGGTCGTCACGACGTCCGCAGACTGCCGATCGTACTCGCGTGACGGTCACCTCAATAGAACCCTTGGCGCCACTTTTAGGGCCCTTATATAGGCAGCCGTCGCGCACCGTTAAGCCTATCCCTCGCCGAATCCTCAACCGATGGAATTTCCCTCGCGCTGGGCTCGCCAACGCTCGATGTAAACTAACTTGTTCCCACGGTCTCGAAACAAGAACGTCCTACACACTTGCTACATCGCTTCGAACCGCATTCTTGGTATTCTTAACACCTACGCACAATACATGTTCCATATTACCTACTTTATACACATTTACGCCCGTCTTATATGGCAATTAACCCGATATAATCACCTCATTAACCAAATTAAGTTTATTACACTACGCAGAGATTTTGAAATTGTCATCATTGTTTGAATCTTAACTGGAGAAGGACTTCCGTGTACCACATAATCAGACCGGTTTGAACTGACCGTTCATAATACAGACCACATTTTAGACCGTTCATAATACGGCTTGTCTAGAAGGCCAATGGCTAACTGCTCAAACAACTGAAATGAAAGCCAATGACCGGAGTTCCTCTTGCCAGGAGAGCGCCCGAGCCGAAGGAAAGGTCGCCAGGCTACTGAGGCAGGGCGCCGGGGCCCTAGGACAGGGCGCTGGGGCCCTAGGGCAGGGCGCCGGGGCCCTAGGAGAGGGCGCTGGGGCTCACGAGGAGGGCCCCGGTGCAGATGAAGTGGGCCCCCCAGCAGAAGGTATTGAGGCTCGTAACGACGCAGGATGGACAGCGGCCATGCAGGCGGCGCGTCACGGTCGTGTAGAGACGCTGCAGCTGCTGCTGGATGCTGGTGCTGACGTCAGGACCTTCAACTCCATGGGTCAGCCCACTTGTCCCAAGTGCTGCCATTTGCTTCCTCTCATATCAAGTTATTTTAATAAATTATTATTTTTAGTTGTTATGTCAGTTGACTTGTTCCAAGTGTGCTTTCGACTTGTCCCAAGAGCTTTCTCTCCAATAAAGTTATTTTAATAAATTATTTTTAGTTGTGATGTCAATCGACTTGTCCGAAGTGCTGCCATTTGCTTTCTCTCAAATTAAGTTTTTTCTTAATGAAATAATGTTAGTTGTTATTGTTTTTTAATAATAATTTTAGTTGTTATTGCACATGTTTGTTCTCTATTCATTTTGACTTGGCTTATGTTCTCTGAAAAAAAAGTTGCTCCATAATTAGAGAGGGTTTCACCTAAATTATTACAGCCCAAATAATAAGAGTTTTGGGGCTGTATAATCTAGACTCGCTTAAGTACACATAGCGGTCTAAGTACACGTAGCGGCCGATTTCTCGCCCGTGTTTGAAGGGTTTATATCGTAATACCGTCAGTGATTGGTTGGTGGAATAACGAACTCGTAGCTGTTTTTGATAGCACGGCTTCTAAAGAGTGGGCTCGTATTGCAGCTTGCGATACATGATTGGTATAAAAGAGGGGAAAAATGCGAACAAGAAGTATTCACATATTAGATCTAAAAATCTGATACTATATTTTTATTATATACACTACTATATACTACATATTGAGCTGGGGCCATAGTTTCAAAACTCGCTAAGTGAACGTATAATAATAGTACTTACGCTCTATTTTCTTATCTATGATTGGTGGATTTTACTTGAAAGGCCGTCAATTATTGGCTGATGAACTTACGATCGCTTAACTTTTTTTGAAAGCATAGGCCCTGATTTTATGTATAACTGATGAAGTTATGAGGCGAATATATGAACCACTTTCCCTATAATTCAAAAAATATATTTATTATAATTATAATTATTTGCGTATAATTGTAACCCTGCGTTGCAGGTATGAACGCGCTGGCACTAGCGGCGGCGAGCGGGAGCCTCGCTTGTGTGAGGGCGCTGCTGCTTGCCGGCGCTACATCTGAGGGCCAGGTCTGGTCTACTGCAGTTACCCTCTATTTTTTAATTATTCTTATGGCTGCTTAACGTGTTGGAGCTTAGGTACTGGTCTACTGCAGTTACCCTCTATTTTTTAATTATTCTTATGGCTGCTTAACGTGTTNACGCCAACGCCACTACGCAGAAGGCGATGATGAACAGCAGCACCTTACGGGTCACCTTCCACGGGCCCACCTGCAGGTAATTATCATCGTTGTAAGGTAATTACTGTCTCTTATACACATCTAGATGTGTATAAGAGACAGGCTTAACATGTTGGAGCTTAGGTACTGGTCTACTGCCGTTACCCTCTATTTTATTATTATTATTATGGCTGCTTAACGTGATAGTGTGTTAGAAATGTACAACAGGAATGAAGTTTAACGTGATAGTGTAATAGAACTGTGCAATAGGAATGAACATTGCAAAATTCGTTTGAATTTTGATCACGGAAATAATACTTGGTTCCATTTTGACGTGTCATTGAATATTTATAGATGAATAATAGATTCAGTGAGCCTTAGGCTAGACCTCCATGCGCAATGTAATATTTGTCACAAAATAATTTTGCCTACATCTTAATGAAACATGAGTTGCGTGATCCTAGCGTAGGTAGTAGTATAATGCATGTCCTGCTCGTGGTGAATGAGCTTCAGGCCCTTCATTAAAAATTTCAATGACAGACGGACGGACTGTCATTGAAAATTTCAATGAAGGCAATGAAACTTCAGTGAAGTTTCATTGCCCTGTTATTCACAAATTGAGGAAATGTGTTGATATAAGGCCTTAGCTCTTGTTTGTATTGTGCTTAAAACTTTGAATTTTGATGTCAATCTTGTTTTGTGCTTATGAAATTTATCTACCTATGCATAAAAATTTGTGCTGTGACGTAAATCAGGTTCTGATTGACAACATTGTGTTGTGCCTAAAAGTTAGTGTATTAACACTGATCTAGTACCATACTTGTATATTTGTGTTATGTGCTTTAACATAAATCTGATTCTGCCTATAAAATTGTGACGTGCCTAAAAGTCTGCGTAGTAACACTAATTTAGTACCATACTTGGGTATTTGTGTTGTTGTTTGGAATAATGTAACGACAAGTCTTCACTCGTGCAGATGGAATAATATAACGATTAGTCGATTATTATTAACAATTATATTAGTAGTAGATAGTAACGATTAGATGGAATGTTATAACGACAAGTATTGACTGGTGCAGATGAGCGCAGTGCTGCTGGCGTCATACTGCGACCACCCTGAGGTGCTGCGTGTGCTGCTGGACCGCGGCGCGTCTGCTAAGACCGCCGCCAAAGACACAGGCGAGAGACGTTTCCTTAACTCCTTTTTTAGCGCATTTTCTCATTTATGGAAAAAAGGCGCTATTGTGCTCGCCATGTCCGTCCGTCTGTCTGTCTGTCCGTCCGTCCGTCTGTCTGTCCGTCCGTCCGTCCGTCTGTCTGTCCGTCCGTCCGTGACTTCACGTTTTCGTCGGCGAGAAAATGCGCTCTCTGTCACTCGCTGCAGTGAGTACTGAGTTATATTTCTCTATGAATACATTACCCGTAGCCAATGCTATTCGTATATGAAAGCAAAATAACGCATGTTGATGTGTCCACATCAATAAAACATGTTGATGTGTTCACACCAATAAAACATGTTTATGTGTTCACATCAATAAAACATGTTTATGTGTTCACATCAATAAAACATGTTGATGTGTTCACATCAATAAAACATGTTTATGTGTTCACATCAATAAAACATGTTGATGTGTTCACATCAATAAAACATGTTGATGTGTTCACATCAATAAAACATGTTGATGTGTTCACATCANGAGTGCCTGTCAACTGTCAGCTTAATGGTGAGTGCCTGTCAACTGTCAGCTTAATGGTGAGTGCCTGTCACTGCCGTCAACTGTCAGGTTAATGGTGAGTGCCTGTCAACTGTCAGATTAATGGTGCATTTGAGCCGCTACGTGTACTCTGGCTGCTACGTGTCGTGTACTCTGGCTGATACGTGTACTCTGGCTGCTACGTGTCGTGTACTCTGGCTGATACGTGTACTCTGGCTGCTACGTGTACTCTGGCTGCTACGTGTACTCTGGCTGATACGTGTCGTTCGTGTCGTGTACTCTGGCTGATACGTGTACTCTGGCTGCTACGTGTACACTACATGCACTTAGACCGCTATTTATTTTAGAGTTAGAATGCAGAACTTTCTTGTTGATTAATGACCAGAGATTATATTAGAACTCTCACATCAACACACACGCAATTACACCCACAAACACATCCACACACAAACACACATCAAGCTTGTGAGTTCTGATAACACAGTCCCTGAGGCCATACTTTCAAAACTCGCTACGTGAACGTAAGTACTTACGCTCTATTTTCTTGTCTATGATTGGTGGATTTGGCTTGAAAGGCCGTCAATGATTGGCTGATGAACTTACGATCTCTTAACTTTTTCGAAAGTAAAGTCCCCGGTTGGTTGCAGATCCGGTGACGGCGTTGGCTGCCGTGTGTGCCGGCGACTATGAAGCTCTGGAACGCATCCTCGACGACGACCCTCAGCAAGCCAAGGTGTCCGGCCCGCCACTAGCCTGTCCATCTTATGTGCCAGCCGTGGACGCTTGAAATGATTATTGAATATTTCAATACTTTATTCCATTTCCATTTGAATATTTCAATTCCATTTAGTTGTTGGGCCGCGTGAATATTCCCCTTAGTTGGAGGCTGCTTTACTGTTGTGGTAATGTTGGGCCGCGCTACTGAACATTTAATGTCTGTAGGATGCCTTCAATGTTGGACCGCGCCATTGAATATTTCATTGTAGGTTAAGGTTGTTACTAACATGAAACAATATTTAAATTACATTATGATCAAAAACGCATTTCTTTAAGATTTTAATGAAGCATGATTTAGTTAAATGATTTAATCTTGTTTATATTTTTTATATTTAAATCTTACAAAAGAAATATGCTATCATGTATTTGTGAACTATTTTGTGTGTTTCAAGCTTGGCACTGTAAAAAAAAGCAGCTGTTTGAGCGCGTATCCATTCCTATCATGGATTAAGAAATCAAAATGCGATTTAATTTTCATTATTTGGAAATTGTTAGATATATAATCCATTGCAAACTCGTGTCTATAATTCCCCAGCTTTATGTGACCTCTATATGAAATAATAAAAATCGCAACTTTATAAGAGGGTTATTCTTGGGACAGGACGAAATGCTCTGTTAGAAAAACCATTGTATAATTATCATCTTATCTACCACTGTGCTTCCCACCTCAGTATTTTAGCGCATTTATATTGTATATATGGGGATTTTACAATCAGATGCGTTTTAGCTTTGTGTTTAGCACTCAAATATTATTAGTGTATTCAATTGTTGGCTGCGTCAATTTCTATATTCCTCACATATTGTTATTGACAATATTGTTTATACACATTGTTATGTTTCGTATTGTAATCACGGCACAGCTGGACAACGCTAGTGCTTCACTGAACACTATTGTGAAAATTAGCACACCTCTAAAATGAAAGAAAATCGGTTCACATTTTAAACTAGTTATATTGTTGTTTAGCTTCTCGTATCACTACCGTCTGACTCACCACCTCCTCGTATGTCTCACCACCTCACATGTCTCACCTCCTCACATGTCTCACCACCTCACATGTCTCACCACCTCACATGTCTCACCTCCTCACATGTCTCACCACCTCACATGTCTCACCACCTCACATGTCTCACAGACCGTCACCAGCGGAGGTGTGACGGCGCTGATGGCGGCGGCGGTGCTGGGGGACGAGAGCGCGGCGCGGCTGCTGCTGGAGCGCGGCGCTGACGCCTGCGCTGTCGAGGCCATCAACGGCTGGTCGCCTCTCATGCTGGCGCTCTACAACGGGTGCGTCGTCCCGATGCATCGCCCCAATGCATCGTCCCAATGCATCGTCCCAATGCATCACCCCAATGCATCGTCCCAATGCATCGCCCCAATGCATCGCCCTAATGCGTCGCCCCAATGCATCGTCCCAATGCATCGCCCCAATGCATCGCCCCAATGCATCACCCTAATGCGTCGTCCCAATGCATCGCCCCAATGCGTATCCCCAATATGTCGCCCCAGTACCAAACGCTCTGCCTGCTGCTGTCGGCAGAATATGTCCCGTTGAGATGCATCTCATTGTTGATAGGCTAAATATTCTCTTGGTTCGTGAGTGAGTGTCAGCAATGGGGTATGATCCTAGAGTAATCATACACGAACGTGCTTTAATCCTAATGTAAACACCCATTAGTTGAAGGATATATTATGGTACCCTACTCGTTCGTATGGTCTCATTCCAAACGTTTTCATTATCTGTTCCTCTTCACTATTCATTTCAGATATCAATTGCGTTCCTACAATGGCGATCAATTTTGTGTTGACGTTATTGACTTATGTGCAGACATGTACACTTGGCCCAGGTCCTGTTGAACCGCGGAGCTGACATGGCCCACGTGACCCCCACGGGCCACACGGTGCTCGACTTCGCAGCCCTCATCCAGTGTCAGGACATCATGAAGGCTTACATCAAGGCCCAGGTGCGGGATTATGAAGGCTTACATCAAGGCTCAGGTGCGAATGGTTTTTATTGAGTCAATTGCACTAATATTACCAAAATTAGATCTATGTTTGTATATGCCTTATTGTCATGGTAGTTACATTTCACTGTGATTTGAAACAATTCATGAGGCTGCAAATGTTCGTAAGCTTTGATTTTTTTAGAAAGTGCAAAATTATTCCATATTGGAATAGTGTAAAATCATAGCTAGTTCTTCAGGTTTGAAAACAAACGAAGCAGTTTTCTTCAATGTTCAAATACGATGAAAATAAATCGACTAAATCAGAGTAATTAGAATGAAAACGGTCTCATTGCTCAGAAGGTAATTTGCTCCGTTTTCTTTGCAATTTAAAGTGACCGAAGAAAAAACAATCGGCGAAAGATAGAAGGCGATGGCTGTCCTGGGTATTTATTTATATAATTATATATAGCAGTTATAATAATTGCGGTTTCAGCGTTTATTAGGTCGTAGGCCTGTCGCCGATTCTCAACATTGCAGAACATCCACAGCATTTTGCGGGCTTGAACTCGCAACTCACTGCTTCAATTTTCCTTAGCTTAACCGCCCGGCCTCCTTGTTGATTCTGACCAGAAACTGGCACACAGAGCTGGGATCGAAGTTTTCAAAACTTCGCTTCCTTAACGTATAACTTTTTCTGTTAAGTAAAAAACCGTTGATTTCCCGTCTAATGAGTAGTTCATTGATGAACAACAGGTATTGAGGCATCAGCTTCTAGTCGCTGTACGTTAATTTATTTATTTATTTAACAGCTTTGGTATTGAGGCACCAACTTCTAGTCGCTGTACGTTAATTTATTTATCATTTAACAGCTTTGGTATTGAGGCACCAACTTCTACTCGCTGTACGTTAATTTTTTTATTTATTTAACAGCATTGGTATTGAGGTATCAACTTCTAGTCGCTGTACGTTAATTTATTTATTTATTTAACAGCATTGGTATTGAGACATCAACTTCTCGTCGCTATACGTTAATTTATTTATTTATTTAACAGCATTTGGACGACGATGCTGCAGAAGATGAAGAAGGTCTTCATCAGCTGTCGGGCAACCTCGGCTTCAAGAAGCTGATGAACAGAGTTTCTGATAAGTAAGCACCTTTACTCTGACTAAAATTACGAACTCGTTCTTGGTATCCTATAATAAAATGTCTTCTATTGTTGAACGCTGTTTTCGCAATGAGTTCATTTAGGTCTAATAATAATTGGATCTCAAGAAATGTCAACGATGCTTGCGTTTGGATTCGCCCTCCATCGAATGAAAGTTTGATGGGAAAAATCGTTCCTTTTTACGATGCTTTTACCACTCGATGACAGGCAGTACCGATTTTTTAAGTGTTTTGAACGACACTTTCGATTGCCCCACTTGATGAACAGCATTTTATTTTAATTATTGTCTTTTTTTAGAAAATGAATACCAAAATATTTACAGGTGCCGATATTAGTGATATCAATACTATAACCCTTCATTCACTCGAATTTCTGCTTGTATCATTTGTGTTGTTTTTATTAACTTGATATTTTCTCCTGGAAATGATGCCATGACTCAGGAGGTCAGGGCAGAGCCGCTCTGTTTGCTCTGACGGCGTCTCACTTCTGAGCGCCGGCCAGACCAGCGCTCTGACCAGCGTCCTGACCAGCCTCTTGTGTGGCTGCTGGTGAGGCGTGCAAGCTCTACTTCTGGTCACAGTGTGTCCTTAATGCTGCTACTTCTGGTCACGGTGTGTCTTAATGCTGCTACTTCTGGTCACAGTGTGTCCTTAATGCTGCTACTTCTGGTCACGGTGTGTCCTTAATGCTGCTACTTCTGGTCACGGTGTGTCCTTAATGATGCTATGTCTGCCTTATCTCTGCTGCTTACAACGCTAAAGTTGGCGCACTAATCATTGCATTTACCAAAATTGGAGCTACAATCTATTAACTTTATTCTATTTTACTAGCTTGGACACATGCATTCATATTAATTCTCGTTTCTAATGTTTTTTTTTTCTTTCCATACAGCTTGAATAGGCTTTTAGTTACGCGGAGTGACACAATAATATCCATTTACTTTGCTAGAGAACGCGATAATGTTGTTCATTCATAATTATTTTTATGTATTTTTTATGTCTCTAATGAGCTATAGTTTAAATTCTCAGCCAACCCTGAGCATAAAGATTTTTTTTATTATGAGAAATATTCTTTGTATCCACGCATGGCTGGGCTCTTGATAATATCCATTTACTTTGCAAGCGAATGCGGTAATGCTGTTCATTTATAATTATTTGTATGCTTTTTATATATTTGATGAGATTTAGTTTAAATTCTCAGCCAACCCTGAACATAAAGATTTTAAAATAATCAAGTTATTGCATGAAATAACCAACTTATTACATAAAATAATCAAGTTATTGCATACAATAATCAATTTATTCATTATGAGAAATACTCTTGGCATGGCAGGGCTCCTGAATTTCCTTGCAATACCTCCTGTCCCGCAGGCTACAGAAGACGCGCCCTAGGAAGGAGCTGTGCAACCTGACGGAGTCTTGCGGCTCATCGATCATCAATGAAGCATTGCCGCCAGCCCCTCCCCCCATCGTGGGGGAACCCATCCTCCCATATCTTCCCCATCATCCCCCGAAAATGGTACTTATCCTCCCATATCTTCCCCATCATCCCCCAAAATGGTAGGTACTTATCCTCCCATATCTCCCCCATCATCCCCCGAAAATGGTAGGTACTTATCCTCCCATATCTCCCCCATCATCCCCCGAAAATGGTACTTAACTGCTCGGGCGGGTTATGGTTTTTGTGATGACATTTCTTTGTTAAATGATGTTCCGTTGTATTTTGGTCTGCTTTCTAAACATTACTTTGTTTATAGTGCACATCGTTTATTTGACCCAACAAAAAACTCAAATCAATCATAATAATGTTGCCGGAGTTAAGGAAATTAAATTGTCATCTTGATTATTTTGTGTTTAAGTTTATTTTGGTCTCTATTTTCATCAATGAAAAGGCTGGTAACGTTTTATTAATTTTATAATATGCGTTTACACACGGGTATTGTAGTGGCGGCCAGTACAGTATTCAAATACTAACCGCCACTATTTACCGTGTTACTGGCTTCGTGTATAGGCGTAACATATACACATGTATAGGCGCTACATATACACATGTATAGGCGCTACATATGCACATGTATAGGCGCTACATATACACTTGTATAGGCGTTACATATACACATGTATAGGCGTTACATATACACATGTATAGGCGCTACATATACTGTACATATGTATACTCGCTACATATACACATGTATAAGCGTTACATATGCACTTGTATAGTCGCTACATATACACATGTATAGGCCAAGTAACCCTTTACCCTAGGCCAGCTGCATGATAATTTGTCGTATGTATATGATGATAAAACATTTAAAAGTTGTAATGGTCGACACTACTGGCCCCATGTACACGCTCTTTCTCAGAATTTGAAGTCATTTTTACTTCAAAAATGAATTTTTAATTTGAAGTCAGAATTTGAAGTCATTTTTACTTCAAAAATGAATTTATGAATTTGAAGTCAGAATTTGAAGTCATTTTTACTTCAAAAATGAATTTATGAATTTGAAGTCATTTTTATTTGAATGTGAAGGCGTTTTTACTCTCCCTCTTAGAATCTGACGTGCAACTGCTACGAGGAGGACGACTCGCTGATGTCGACCATGAGCATGAAGCCTCCAATAGACGGCACTTTGGACAGTAACAAGTGAGTTATTTATTCCTGTTGCTTGTTGTGTAATTAGGAATTCATATTAATAAACTATGTTTTTACACTTTGGGTTGTCAATATGCCACGTGTGTACTTTTCCAGTTTCAAACAAAACTCTGGTTTCGAAACTACTGTATTTCTCGTCACATTTTATTTTACAATAAACAGTAAACGAGCGAGGGTGTTATAAGGTAAAGATTTTGTGATAAAAATTATCCCTCGCATATCATCATTTAGATCAAAGATGTTATGATTTAGATCAAAGTTTGACTGGCGGTTTGCTCGGTTCTTGTACAAAGTAATCGATGTCAAAGATTTTCTGTTAAAAACAATGCCTTCCATGCCCTTGATTGCATGCATTTTTAATTTATATAATTTAACGTTATTTTCTGGAGGTATTGACCGGAAACAACCTTGTTTCTCGAAAAAATAGATAAGTAGTTGAAATAAATTTGATCTATCTTGATAATCCACGGTTTCAGTGTTTCTACTTTGTACTATACAGTATCTGTATTTTCTGATAAACAGATGGAAAAGTTCACTGCTGCCTCAGCACAAACATCGTGACGTTGGCGTGATTAAGCCACCGCCTCGAGTACCCAACGTAAAAGTACTGCTCAAGAGAATAGGTAAGTGACAGAAATAGGTAAGAAACTGATCTCGAGCAGTGAACCTGTTACTCTTAACTGACGAACGTTCTAAACTGTTAAGTGCGTTGAAGTATGCTCGTTGTGTTCATGTAAAATATACATATTTATATATCCAACTAGTTAATGCTCAAAGTAAGCGAAGTGTCAAGTTGCTTAACATGACTGTGCAGACTAAATTACCAAAAAGTTGGTTACGTCGCAAAAGTCAATTTCTGTCTGCTCATATTCAGTAATTATAATGTTCAAGTTATGGCCCATGTTCCGCATGTATACCACTCGTGAAATGCCATTAGTGTTACGATTTATTTCTACTGATGGAAAATCGAACGAAAGAAAATAATCATGAATTATTAACCCAAACTGCATCGCATAAGAAACACCTTCGATAACAATAATTGACTTGTATTTTGACACGAGCGAGCGAGTCGGAGTCGTCTAATCTAACCAAAGAAAATAATAATCATGAATTATTAACCCAAACTACATCGCATAAGAAACACATTCGATAACAATAATTGACTTGTATTTTGACACGACAGAGCGGCAACGAGCGAGCGAGTCGGAGTCGTCGGCTGGCACGGCGTCCACAGGCACCACCGTACAAACGAAGCGCCTCAACAACAGACTCCAGCCATCCAAGTCAGTGAATTATCAAGTCATACGTTCATTTCTATTACGGAATATAGATCGTATCTATAACTAAAAAGATTAATCTAATTCGAACTATCACAATCTCTTTAAAACTCGCTTGTGATCTAATCATGTTTAGATTATAATTCAGGTATTTTTAGTCAAACGCGACTTGAAATGAATTATATTTTAAGACAGCGCATCTTCTTGATACTGATCCAATCGTTGACACGCGTCGTTCCAGAGCAGCAGTGGCATGTTATCCTCAGAGTTTTTTTTTTTTTGTTATCCTCAGATCATTTAGCAGGTTGAAGCATAGACGGACGGAAATAAGAGATTCTAACTTCATATTCTTATTTATTCTTTTAAAATTTTCCTGCAGCAACAACACTTATAATTTGTTCCAATATTCATTCCAGCATGGTCCAGCCTCAGAGTATGGCTGAGCTGCTAACCATGAGCCTTGGGAGTCGCAAAGTCAGTGAGATTCTGCATAAACTTTCCTTGGACGACTACGCTGCATTTTTCGAGGAACAGGACGTCGATTTCGAAGCTTTCCTCGAACTGACGCCAGACGACATCAGGGAGCTCGGCATCAACGACCAGCGTTCTCGTATTAAAATCATGAGGGCGATACAGAGCCTGCGCAGAAAAGTAAACCATCGATAGACAATTTCAGAAATGAGGATGTGATCAATGACTGAAAATATTTGGTGTAGCAGGTGATGAAGGTTGACTTCAATTAATACTACATGCATCAAGCTTATCAATGGATGACCACATAAAAGAATTCACTCGCTGGTGAGAGTGACTTACGCGAGTTCGCACAAAGCTCCACAAGTTTCTAATTAGGCGTGCACACAGAACGGGCACATGAAAGAATATGGCCGATTAGTGAAGAAGGATGAATATATTAAGAAATTTATTTGAAATTTTGTCGCGATTCAAGTCTCGATCTCTAGTCGTTCATTGACTAGGAAAATTGTTCGCATGCCTTCAAAAACTGTACACTGATGATGTAAATTGGGGCAATGGAATCTGCCACTTTTAAGAACACCGCACCGCTAAGAGCCGAGTCGTCAAGATTTTAATGCAAGAAAGTCGATATAGGCGATGAAAGAGTGCATGTTTTTTTTAAAAACTGGACTTCTGCTAACTAGAAGTCGGGCTGGCTGCCTCAGTATTTTTGCATGTTTAGTTTGCATACTGTCACAATAAATGTTCAAATTAACGAATGTAATAGGGAAATGCTCAAACCTTCTACCGTAATGTGATATTCAAGTGCCTTTGCATTGTGTGTTGGCCGTTGCATTTGTAGGGCCTGTGTAAAAATTCTGACCTGTTGATTTGGTGTTGATGAATTCAATTGATCGAAATTTCGTTTTTACATTCAGGATTGTGATTATTTGTCCGATGGACCTTGAGCTCGACAAAATACTTTGATAATTAAATAACCACTACCATAATATTTTAACCATGCCTGGTATTTTTTAAGAAACATTTTATGTGTACCGGGATACCCTGATTTAAATCATATTTTCTGAGATAGTGAACACTTCGAATTAATAACGCATGATGGGAAGCATATGCATCAATAATAAATTTTGTACCATGCTTACCGGTTAATAAAGTTGGCGAAATGGAACAGAACTGTAGCTACTCTAAGAATGTGTAATATTTGCTGGCAAATTATACTTATAGTGATTGTTCTGTTGTGTTAACCTTGCCTACCTTCAAAGGGCCTTGAAATATGCATTGATGTTAAGGCCGTTCTTGTTTATATCAACCACCTCGTCTGCAGTACAACTGGTCTTGACGCTGCTCTCCCTCCGTCCAACAACTCCAGCGTCCGGACAGAATGCAGGCAATAAAAAGTAAAAGAGTTTCATCACGTACAGGATTTTGGAACCAGGCAAACGTTTCGATTATTTTCGATGATTAGAATATTACTCAGAAGACGGAAATATGTTGTCACCAAGGTAGCTGTATGGTGCTTATATAGTCGTTTTAAGACACGCTGCAATGAAACAAATTTTGCAAGCATGCGTTCAGAGATGAGAAGAAACTTGCTGCAGCTGTTGACTGCGACTGTCGCTCGATTCGTTGCTTGCTTCAGAACAGAGTTCCGCCCTCAAAGGCGAAACGACTGCTGCACAGTATCCTGTGGGCGTCTCCAAATCAGGTGCCAGTTTGAAATGGTACGCCGACGAGAACTCTTCGTTGTACAGTGAATGCGAGAATGGTTCACTCTCACGGGCTGAATTTTGCGGCTGGTGTGCGCAGGTGACGTCTAATGTGACGTTTTTCATTATAGCGAGAGACGAGGCGTCGTCAGATTTATCGAAGTTTATGACATCTTCGTGTAGACTTGTGTCGTTTATTACTGGACTCGAAGTCTCGTGTTCCGATGAAAGCCTCCCGCGACTTGATATTACCAGAGGTGGCGCGGCGTTGGGAGCAACAGGCAGATTTGAGGATGGGGAAATGATGAGAAGCGAGGCAGGTAATTGGCTGTGTGAAAAAGAACCGAGTTGATATTCATCTCTTACGGACGAAGAGTGTATGGCAGTTGCCTGATGCAAGGACTTTTCATTCAAATAAGTGCGGCGTTGAACGGCAGCAGATGACTTGGTAGCAGCACCATGTAAATGAGCGTCGGAGAGCTTCCTGTAACACAAACTCGTTGTTATAAAAAAAAGTTCAAAGCATAGTGCAAACGCGATTCATCATGACAAAAGAAGTATTATGTACATTTATTTATATATAACATTATCGTCACCCGGTTTCAGATATAACTTACCTAATAATAGCCACGAATTACACACAGATAAACGTTTTTATCTATAGTTCAACGCCACTATAACTGGACCTAAGGCGAAAGCGGAATTAAATAGCCACCAAGACATTTATTTTTGGCACTTTACTCAGAAGGCTGCAGCTACCAGTGTTCGAGTTCACATCTACCATTGGCCAACAAGGTGGAAGAGGAGCTGAAGTTCAACTGAACTTATGAAGAAAAAGATTACAATTCATGCCTTGTTCGAATTAAGTTTGAATGATTTTAAATGTAAGAAATTAGAATAAACGAATATCATTTCAGTACAAATAAGGAAACTGTAAAATTTAGGTCCCTTAAAGTTTATGTACTTGAAAATGGTCTCTTTTAGCTCGTAAATCAATTGGAAAACGAGTAACTCACCCCGAAATAAATTCAGATGAGACTAACAGGTCACCCCGCAACACAATTGCAGTTCTCGTCTGCTCCTCTTGCTTTTCGGTACTTGTTTGTGATGAAGAAATTTCCACAATTTTTTTAGAAAAGGTTTGATCAGATTGTATTCCATTTAAAACGGTGGGGTCTATCCTGTGTTGATTAGATACAGGGTTAGCCACCGCTGAGAGAGGTTTCTGCCTCAATGCTAGAGGCTGAAGAACCATCAATTTTGATGCAGGAATATTTAATGATTTTGTCTGAGAACTCATCGAAGCTACCTGGATGATTTTATTTGCGCTGTGGTCAATAAGATTTGATTGCATACTTCGTGATTCTTTGACTTCACCTGGTGACAAAGCTGCATTCTTGACCTCGTTAATTACCATAGATTGTTTATCCGCTCTTTTGACTCCGGTTTTGACTTCACGGGGATTAATCAAATTTGTATCGGGCAAATTGTTAATGTGTTTCACATATTCAGGGGACATTTTGATAAGCGACGGAGGCACTGAATTCCCGAAGTGTGACGACACGATGTAGACAACTGACCCATCAGGTTCAAGTTTCTTGACAGTTCGAAGCTTGGGCTCGATCCGTCGGATTTTGCTTATTTTTGCGCCACTCTCTTCAGGACATGTCGTTGGCATGCTTACTGAATTAAGGTTGCTCTTTTTTTGTACTTCGTTCTTACTTCGATTCTTCAAAGCTTTCACGGGAAGTTGACGAGACAAAAACGTTGTTGATCGTAAACGCGAATTTCGTTTTTCAGATGCTCGGTGCAAAGGAGTTTTGAGAGGAAATCTACGCATTCGGTTCATCGAAGCAGTTGCAGGGATTTTAATAAATGATTCAATTTCTTCCGATTTGGCTGCTGTGTTCAAAGTTTCGACTTGAGAAACTGTCATAGAGTCAATCTCACCAGTTGCATCTTCAAAGTCAGTCACTTCTATGATAGTTTCTACATCATTATATTCCGTTTCTATTGAGATATCTGGCATCATCTCGACTTTCAAAACTCGTGCTGATGGTTTCTGAGAGTCGTTTTGCAAGTTAGACCTGCGATGAGAACTTACTCGATATATATCAGTCTTGCTTGTCGTAAATTGACTTTGGGAGAGATCACGCAAGGCTGAATGATACTTATTGCAATGCGAGGCAAGAACCTCAATACAACTAAATTTGAGATGGCATTGATCACACTTGAAAGGCTTGCTTGGTCTACCGCATTTACGGTTCATCTTCTTAATGTAATTAGCTCCTCCTGAGCAGCGAATTCCAGATGGTATTCCTTGGGTTTCTGTTGTTTCCAATGGTTGACCTTCATTTAAATTGAAAGTCTTACTTGATTCCACGCTCTGTTCTATCAAAGACGTAGTAGCTTTTCTCTTTCTTGGCCGAGTTTCTGCTAGCTCTTCTAACCCTTTTGTAGGAGATTCTACCTCGGATTTGACTGATGACAAGGAATCCATAGCAAAGTCTTCAGAGAGCAGCTGAAAAAACACTTTTGGTTGTTTATTTGAGTGAAACAACTGAGATATCTTTTTCTTAATTTGAGAAAATTGATGAACTGCAAGTTTTGCCTCAGACAGTAAAACAGAACAGACACTGCATAAATGAACAGAGGCATTATCACTAATGAGCTTCAGTTCAAGCATGAGACATAGTAATTCCATAATTGTCATGTCACCAACCAAACATTCCTGCTGAGTTGAATACAAACAGGGTTTGTCAAGTTCATCAAATTGTATGCCACACAAATAGCAATTTGTACCATTTCCCATCTGCTTGATAGAAATCAGAAATTTTCCATCAAATTTTGTTGTCTTCATTTTTCAATCCTTGGGAATATCTTGATCAAAATTGAAAATCAGTTGAAATGTTGACTTGCTGAGCAAGGTATTCTGGCATTAGTCTACTCATAGTAGTATGCACTAGCACTTGAAGTTCAATACTTTTCAATTTCAATATTCTTTCAACTAATATTTAACTAATATTTAGAGAGTAGAAATGAAATGTGCACACACATGTGCACAATGATGTTATGTGAAAAAAAGAAGCGCAATAAGTGCTCTCATCCAACGAGCACTCAAAACCTGCTCCTCTGAAAATGATTTGAATACGGAGCTGAAAAATTGCAAAAGAACCTTAGTCAATAATGGATTTGCAAATAGAACAATTGACAAGGAAATTTCAAAGCTTCGATCGAACCAAAACAGAGACAACCATCAACCAGAGACTGACGCAAACGTCACAACCATCTACTATGAGAACCAAATGACCAGCGGTTATAAAGCAGATGAACGGATCCTTCATTCTATCGTTCACAACAACGTCGTGAACATAACTAATAATAAAATTAAACTACTGATTTATTACAAAAACAAGAAAATACAGAATCTTGTAATGAACAATAACCCCTGCAAAAAAACGGGAGTTTTCCAAGAGACCAATGTAGTCTATAAATTTTCTTGCAATAGAGAAGGTTGTATACTTCTCCCCAATATGGACTACATCGGGCTCACAACTACGACATTAAGCCGACGTCTCACGTGCCACCTTCAGTCTGGTGGACCAAAGAACCACCTGATGGAAGCCCACAACGAGACCATCACTCGTACGGTGCTGGAAGAATGCACCAGCGTCGTCATGAGATGCCCCGACGCCAACCCACTCATGATAGCTGAGGCCCTCATCATTAAGGATAGGACCCCAGCCATTAACCTTCAAACTACTGGATTTGTCAGAACCTTGAGACTGTTTTCGGAGTGATTTTCGGTGCTTTGATTCTAAATTATTTTGTGATTTTGTAATTATTCCTAACAATTTTGATTTTTGAGTAGTATCCTATTTACTTGACTTTTTACTTATGTCGACGCTAATTTCATCACTCAATGCGCCTTTTAACTTGATAATGAATGATAGAAACATTCGAAACGTCGTTAACGAAATAAAAATGTCCATCGGTAACCTGATTTTTGATTTGCCAGTTCAAACTAAAAATATTGTTCGATATATTGAAAAAACTAATAAGAAAATTGCGAATAAAACAAATTCTCTGGTCTTCAATGAAACCTGCTTGAATGATGTTATGATGCACTGGACAGTGCAGTTAGTATTATTGAATCTTGCTGTGAATAAAGAACATTAGATATTCCATACCATATTGCAAAAACAACAAACATTAGGTATATATTGATATAGCGGTTACAGCCCTAAAGTAAATTTGATCACGGCCTTTTCATGGGGAACACTAATTGGATGATTTCTTCAAATTAAAAGACAAATCTCATTCTCAAAATATTGTGAATTAGTTTAAACTAGTAGTTGTGAGAGATGCTTTACAGACTTGCTTCTTATTTTATATTCTGATTATTTCTGGCAAAATTATCCCAGTACCACTCTTCTTCTCTTTGAGGGCAACAAGGAACAGAGAGCAAACCAGACTTTCTGTCTCTGAATAAAATCAAAATTGTCAGAGAAATGTAATGTATGTTGTTGAGACTTGAGTGAGTGAGTTGAGTCCAGCTCAAATTGAATGTCTTACAATAATAAAGGTAGATTATATATATTTCTAGAACTAGGAGCAGCCAAGTAGGAGGTTAGCCTATCTTCACAACCATCACAGGGTCACATCTCACAGGCAGACAGGCTTACAGTTACAGCATGTCATGCCACATATCAACCAACTCAGTACCTACCTAATTAGGTTTTCATTGAAAGTCTTCAACTGTAGGCTATTTTGCATACTCAGCTTAGAAAAAATAACACCCAATATTGACTACCTACATAGAATACTTTGAGCATAATCAGACATCAGTTACCACTTAGCAGGACATACCTATTTTCCAAGGCTAAAATCCCTAACCTTCAACTGTTCAATATGGTAAATTTTAAAATCTCCTAAAATCCTTTAAAATTTCATCCATCACATACTCTGAGCCATCCGAGGCTCATGAAAGATTTTATACAAACTAACAAGATTCATTGCAATCATTATGTCATAATCACTAGGCTTAATTATGAGTTAAGAGATGACTGACACAAGTGACACTGACCTCGACATCATATAGCAAAAAAGTAGTAGCGGTCAGTCAGTCACCAGTCAGCAGTCGCCAGTCGGTCCGTACAAGTGTACAACTTTCAATTATTTTAGTTTTAAATACTAACTACCACAAAGGCACAAACCATGCTTTGCAGCTATTGGTCTCTTTGAAAAGGACCTAAACATCCTTTTCAGCTATTATGTAATTGTAAAGATACTTTGGGCCATGGGCATCATCATGGCATAGGTCACAGAAAGACCCAGTAAATGAGTAACACTTTACAGTTTACACGAGGCCAGTAGCACCAGCATGATGCTTGCAGGGACTGCAGGGTGGCGCGCACAGTGACAAACGCAAACCAGAGGTTTTTAGAATCAGTTAATTTCTAATATACTCAAGATTTAAACCCGCAACAAGCTGTGAAAGAGAGTATGGTGTATGGACAGTGGACTGTGGAGCTTTGGTTGTTCTGCAATGCTAAGAATCGGCGACGGCCCGACGGGCCTACAGCCTTGAAAACGCTGAAACTGCTATATTATTTTAATTAGTGGCGGTTAGCACTTAGCAGTTGAAACTTGTACTGTTGTACAGTCCCCGTATACCAGCACCTTCATAAGTTCAAATACAGAAGTCGCTGAAATGCCCATGCCGAACATGTGGCGAACAAATAATCCATCTATTGCAACGGAAAATTTTGTAATTCCAAAATTTTCAGTGATGAAAGATTGATCAAATATTACTATAAATAACTGGAGCAATAAAAACAACAAACTTGTTTGTTTTATCAACTCTAGACACTCTTTTGATTGCAATTCAGGCAGATATACAGCTTGTGCATGTTTAGCTGTCATTTATCCTAAAGAATGTGCAAAATTGGGAGCTAAGTGATGAAATATAACCAATCATCAACATATTAACTGCAAATCTTCACTTTATATTCTAAAATGGAATAGTATTTGTTAATATTGCCTAAAGCAACAACCACCGTGATCGCGTCAGTCTTCAGATGTGTAACGCTTATATACGTATTTATCTCAGAATTTATTTAACACTGAAAAGTCGCAGTAACGAAATAAGATTAATCAGCTGCTTATTCAATGTAAATCGCCAGTCGGCATTAACCATTTACCGCCCAAATTTCTGGGTAAAAATCGCAAATTTCACTTTTCCGGTTTTTAGTCTCACCTTAAAGCTGACATTCTGACTTATCCAACAGTACAAAATCATTTCTGTACGTTGATTTATGCCTTGACGACAGTTCGCGAAAAGGTTAGACTTAGGGATGGAAGAGATCCTTCACATATAAGATAGGCGAAAATTACCTGAATTACCTGAAGACGCTGATCTTTAGTGGGAGCGCAGCCGTGCACCACCAATTTTGTGCACCAATAAGCCCTGAATCGAACGCCTTGGATCTCTCCGGACCTACACCAATCAGCTGTGCACCACTCGGCTTTGTCCTCTTCCGGCCATGACCACCACCTGCCGTGCACCACCAGGCCGCAGATCGAATATGACTTCCAGGCATCGTTAAATTACGTAATTTTACGTTCACCGCATCTGAGGTTAGGTTTCAGATAGCATAGTTCTGTTCCAAAATTTATCGTACTTCGACAAGTGGCCGTTCGACCGAGGGCTGGTCCGACCCACGGCCTAGATACGGACGGCTTGAAGTGTTGAAGGCTACATTCCGGAAAGCAGGAATCATGACGGTCCATTATATCCAGGGCAGTGATGGTCTTCGGCAGGCTACTGTCGTGTGAAATGGTGTTGATGCAGTCGTTCCCACCATCCTTGACTGAATTTCAGCTCCAGTACTGTCTAGTCTTGTATCCATACCACCTTGAATGCCTATATCGAGGCGCTCGGGACTTTGCCGCGTTCTACTGAACATCCACACTTATTGTCACTGCAAACCTGTCTCCTCCTAGAGTTTTTAAGCTACAGTAATGAGAGATATATCGTTCGATTCGCAAATAAAAGACCTAGAGATTGGCTCTAGCTTTTTTTAAATCCGTTAAAGTTTTGAAAATATTTTGAAGAAAAGGGGGGGGGGAATTCGAAAGGGTGGGGGAGTAGGGAATAATAATAAAATAATAATTAAATAATAATAAAGCAGGGAATAAAATAATAACAAAATAAAAGAAATTTCCACGAGAAATTGGAAATTGCCATTGAAAATTGGAAATTTATTTTTGGTTATTTAGACAGATAACTTTGAAACTTGGTACACATATGTAAAAAATAAATCTAAGGCTTTTTTTGTTCGTATGAATTTTTCGAAAAAATGAAAGAAAACGTGAAATTATTAGAAACCCGTTTTTTTAAAGGCGACTTGAAAGTCCGATTTGGCGGTAAAGGGTTAACACTTACCGTAGCACTCGCAAATAGTGTTTATGTTGTTGTTGGCAGCTTGAAGGTGAGGAAGTAGCGCACGGTGACCATTTGTTACACCTGGACTTTACGTGGGAAGTTTCGGTATTATTTCACTGATTCTTGGAGATTTGCAATAGTGTTTAGAAGAACCACGGTCGGATTAGGTCTCATAGGTTATACGGCTATATATCCAACAAATTCTACCACAGAGAATATAAAGTGATGAAAATTAAAAGTCGCAGCGACGAAATAAAATTAATCAGCTGCTTATTCAATGTAGTTCATTCACTTACTCAATACGAAAAACCACTATGAACTCATCATAATCGCTTAAAAGTAGCCAATAGTGCTAAAAATAGCAATGGCCTTGTCAGGTGTTAGACTTTCAACGCTAAATCTCCCTGAGTAATACCGAGAGTTCGGAGAGATATAAAAACTTAGATGAGCCGCTTATTCAATGTAAATTACCACTCCGCGCTCTACAAGAACACTTAGCATTCGATAATGATGACCGCTATGAAAAAAAGGGCTATGACCGCGGCTTTATCCTCTTCCACTCGTGTCATATTTTCAAGGAATACGTTTTTGCTCATTAATACGTTGAATTTTTCGTCGGATTGCACATCTACTTCATAAAAGTAAATCAATTAGAATAGAAGTGTCGGCACTGAAGAAATAGGCCCATGGATTGTTGCCGATTTTTGAATTTTTCGTGACTTGATTCACAAGAGACCCGGGCCTATACTTTCAAAAAAAGTTAGGAGATCGTATGTTTATGAACCAATCATTGACGGCCTTATAAGCAAAATCCACCAATCTTTGACAAGAAAATAGAGCGAAGGTTCTAACGTTCGCATCGATTTTTGGAAGTATGGCCCCTGGCCTTTTGAACCCGATC